ATATAATTTTTATAGTTTTTATAGTAAATAATAAAAATATAAAGAATAATGAAAAGTATTATAAATAAAACAATAAAAGAAAATTATAAAATAAAAATATTGTTTATATATGAACATTTATCAACAAATCTTAAAAACTATTTGATAGCTTGAACGTATTAAAAACAAGTCAATAATATAAACCACTATCTACAACGCGTGCTAATTACACTCAAAGTTTATACCTAATCCGAATCAGTGACCCCGATATACGTATCACATGTTCCTCGTTCAAACCAGACACCCTGTACCAACGTATTAATATAACTGCCATTGCTCAGTTAAATAGTGTATCGCGCGGGTATTAGGTTAACCGTAACCGTATTATCCGTGTAGCCGGATACCACGGTTGAACAATCGGTAACTAACCTGCTTACATACTCGGATATTCGACTGTATCTGCTGAAAACCGGTGTATATGCTGATTCAATTTCACTTCGTACAAATTCTTTTTTTTTTGTCTTACTATCGTCGTCATCGTCATCGTCATCACCATCCTCCTCTTCTCTTTCCTTACCCCAATGACGCAGAACAAGACAACGCGACTCACGAATAGATAATAAGGAAAAGAAAAGAGAAGATATACAACACAAAATCGCGATTAAAACAACTAAAAACAGCATTTTTTCTTTAGTGAAATGTAAAAATATTATATCTAATAAAGCTTCAACCGACCATGGCGCAATCCCTTTCTCTAGTTATGCAGTCGTGTTCCAATTCCTAAGAGTCGAGTCAGGCAAAAGTGTCGGGCCGAACGAAACGGATCGGCCGTCGTTATCCTACTGACACACTTTAAGTCGCGTACCTTGTACGGAGAGCAAGCCTCGGCCTTGGCCACCTTCGTGAATATCTGTGCGATCTGTTTCTCCCTCAGTGGGTGTTATGTTGATTTAGGAAGAGGAGCCGTGAAAAACAGGATGGATTAACCGTGACTGCTGCCACGTGTTCCGATGATCTAATGTTTTCGATACGACCGTGCCGTCAAGCACTGCCTCACCGTTAAACAGGACACAACTTTGCGTTGGTATTTATTTTTAAATACTTGCTGCGCTTCCACTGTACGCTACAGTGTTCCCCTTCATCGATACATGGAAGTTTCCACTAGTATATCATACGTAATATCAAGAGCATATGGTTTCACGGAGCGATTGGTATTCAACTAATGATTTGGTTATACGGTGCAAAAAAGAATATTATTTTTAGCAGATTTTTACGCGATCTGTATCACACGAAACTTGATGTTTCTTTTTCACTATGCACTCAACACGAGCGAATAAATAGTGGAAATAACGTGGAATACGAATGCTTTTTAAAAAATTATTTTACACAATAGTTTTCGTTCCACTTTCACTTGACTGATACATCACAGATGACCACGAATGTGCTATGAAAACAATATTTATACACGCAACGAAACAAGAAAGATGATATGCGAACACGAGACTACTTACGTAGTTTACGCGTACACATAGAACGCGTACTGTGGTGCGATGCCTACTAAACACGATGCGCACCGGCTCAAGACTCGAAGCCGACTGACGGGTCCCCACTATGCGACTCACGAGTCACCCTTCACCGGCGACTAACAGCTGATTTGGAAAACACCGAGATCCGCCCAGTGACGGATTAAGTAGATAGAGTGCCTAACTCGTTGCGTAATACTATAGTTAATCTTATTTCTCAATTCCACAAAAATCGAATTAACAGTTTCAATAATATAGATAACTATAATACGATAAATATATTATTAAAAATATTATACTTACAATTATTTTATATTTTTATAATTTGTTTTTGAAATATTTTAAGATAGTTTATAGATCTAGAATTCAATTTATTATGAATTTTTTATAGTATAAGTCATTAAATCGTTTATTGTAATATTTTAATCGATCAATACTTTATTTATAATCGTATCAAAGTTTGCATATGAAACAAAAAAACAATTTTTAATTATATTTCAACGAAATTCTATATATTGAAAAAAAATAATAAATGAATTGTAAAATATATTATTATAATATATCATATCTGTACCAAGCATATTTATCTTCATTACGCAGTATTTAAACAACTAGATAAGTTGATTTTCATGTAGTAAGGTTAAGGAAGAAACATGGAGGAAATATATTGAAAAGAGCTCGAAATATCATGATAGGGGCATGCGTTTTCAAAGAATACATTTATGATTCATGATATGTATTTATATATATATTATATTGTTAGAAAACATAGTGTTGAAGTCCAACTATCTAATATTTATAACTATAATTATAAATAAATATGTGTATTAACACATAGCTCGTTATTATACAAAGATATAAATATAATTGACATAAATTACTCTACAGTTTAAATACTCAAACTACATTGTAAGATAAATATCGATTGTCGATAAATAAAATATCTATTCCATCGATAAAACTATATAATCGTGTAACGTACATAACAAAATCTAAATATGAGTTTAATTTTCTATATTAAGTTAACATAAATATGATTAATGCTTTTATATTATAAACTATAAGATACGGAGAATTTAGATATAATTAAATATATTTTCATGAATAAATTATTTAAATTCGAATTTTCATAACCATGATTTTAGTTTTGTAATTAAAATTATTAGAATGAAATATCTAATGAAAATATAAATATAGTAACTTTGTATTATTGTTATTTTCATAATTACTTCTAATTTATCCATTTTTTTATTTAAAAAGTATCATACAAAACATTATAAAATTAAGATATCATTTCATAACTCATAAGAAATATTTATTATTTTATGTAATAAACAATACTTTGTTATATGTAATATTTTTATTATATTTTTTTTCATATTTTTATACTTTTATTTATTTTTTAAAAAATGTAAACAAATTATCTTAAAAATAATAAATATATTAAAATTTTATTTTATTCAAATAAAATAATTTTCTTAAAACTTTTATAAAACAATCATATTATGTAATATTTATTTCATGCATAATAAGTAATTATTAGAAAGTATTTTTAATAAATCAATAAAATAAAATGTAGTTACACTACTAATCAAAATTGTTAATTAATTATTAATTAGTTATATAATAGATACATATATAATATATATTGCAGAAAACTAATTAAGAAAGGTCAACAAGTTTATTTTAAAATCTATCATATATGTCAACAAAGGCCAATAAACATTTCACTACCACGATTACATTGTTCTGTTTCATCAACCAACAAAGAATATCCAATATTGCTCGCTTAAAAGGCTACCATCTTCTGGTTGGTAAGCCACTAAATTTAGAAGTTCACATATGCATGTCATTTTTGTTCTTTGGGAACCTTGCATTCAAATTCTTCCTTTATTCTCAGAAAAGAGAGAATGAAGGCCAATGTGTTAATATCAGAAATTTCAGAAGCGACGCTCTATTTTTAGAGCTTTCAAATGCTATTAATTCTATATATTATACTGACTCTATTTAAGGAAACAAAAATAAATTATAATATAAAATATGTATAATTTAAAATTTAAATTAATGAAATATGAAATTATGAAATATGAAAATAATTTGAAAATAGCCATTTATATATTATTATAAATCATAATATTATATATATTATTTATAAATCAAATTATATAATATTTAAATACTTAATATCAAATACTTTTATAATGTTTAAAAAAAATTAATTTTTTAAAACAAATTATTGTTTCATCTGAACATATATTTTTATTTTTTTCTTATTAATTATACTTTGATAAGTTTGTTGAAATTAATTATATTAATATATAGATAAAATGATATATAGAATATAACAATATTAAAAATTTATGTCATGTCAAAGATATTTTAACATTCAACAATATATCATAATATGACAAACAATTTTAAATTTCAAGCTTTATTACAAGTTTAATTTAATATTTTCTATAGATTAATTGAATGACATTTAATATAGATAGAAATTTTAAAAAAATCTCTTTTAAATACAACATACATTTCTAAAGAAAAATGAAAACTATCATTTTTAATGTTATAAAAACATGCATACACGTTCTCCGAAATATATTTGCGTCACGTATGCAATCAAAATTTGCTCAATGACAGCGAGTACGTTGTAAAAATGTTATCAATTTGAAACGGTAATCAATTATACGTTATCAGATTAAAAGATAGATGAAATTATCATTCTACAGAACCGTGTCGAAACATGAAAGAAATAAGAATATAACGTACCAAATGTCAAGACGTGGGTGATCGTGTGTTCCGTGCTGGTATTCTCAAGGATTTCCGAGGGTGGGGGTGGCGGTGGAAGTGGCGGTTGCATGGTGTTCTCCATGTCCCTGTTGCTCATTAAATTTTGATGTCAGTCACAATGCAACACTCGTTCTTACTCAGCGAAAACACATCTCGCGAAATATGCGGGTCGATGATCCTCTTGTTCGTCGCAAAACGTATGTCTATCTATAGTATGTATTCACGATCGTCAAGATGGAATCGCGTATTTCTCGTATATGTAAGAATACCGATTGTTTGAATAATCACGAAAAATACACGAATGACCCGAGAAATAATGTTGACACCGGATTTTTACATGATTGCCACTGATTTTCTCGCGTCCGCGTTGACGGACAACGAAGACACGCACGTTTCGATACTGCGCATCCACAACGCGCAAGTATAATACCGACTGCTTTCGGTTGGTGCGTCAGTATTGTCAACAGATTACCGACTGTAACGATAAAAATGATCTTATATTTTCGCTAGAATACTTTTGAAAAAAATATCATTTTTTTTATTATTAAATATATCTATATAAAATTAAAAAAAGGAAAAACAGGAATGCTTACCTTATACATAATCATAGAGGAATAAGACAGATTATATTGATTATAATAAATAAAAATTATTAAAAGTAAACAGTGACTTTATTTGTAATAACAAGTCTTTAACAATAGTAAGATGTTAATAAAAGTCATTGTCTAAAGCCAGCGTCGATGAATTAATTTTTTTTAATAGCCTGAGTTTTTTTACGCTGAATAATTAAATCGTTTTCATGTATTGCTTAAAGATTTACTATATGTTTCGATAGATAATATTCTCTTTTTCTAAGACAGAAGGTACAAAAGACAATTTCAAATACTTGCTAATTATATATGATAAAAATTATAATTAGTGCTTTTCACATTTAAAAAATTAGAAACTTATTAAGCATATTATGTATGTTAAAATACAAGTACTTAAATACTTCGTTGTACTGTAAATGATTGATGAAAAATTCATGAACATGTAAATCTATGTTTTAGTATATAATAATAATGGGATACATCATCTGTTTAACGCGATAACTTAGATATTGTAGGTCAGACATATCCTACTCTTGTTGCAACACATACCGTTATTACTTACATCTTGAATCGTCAAAACAATTGAATATAATACTCAATCTTCGAAATAAATATTAAATTTTTATTAAGAATGTTTACTGAACTTTTTCCATTTTGGACGAAATACTGGTACCACGTGTTGATTACTATTGTAGTTTATATTTTTTTAAAATTATTTTATAAAATATTGAAAAAGGACGCTATTTTTACTGAAAAAAATAAACATAATTTTGACATTTCAAATATTATAAAGCAACTAAAAGGTAATAATATTAATTATTATCTATCAAAATATAAATTTTTAAAATAATTGTTAGAAATATTATAATCCACTGAAGTTACAAAATTAATGTAATTTTATATAAAATTAATTTTTTTATTCTATATAATTTTAATAGATACTAATAATTAAACATATATTTTTTTAATAAAATTAAGAATTATAAAATTCTAGAAACTAATCAAGAAACAAAAGATAGTGAGGAATCTGCATTACCAAAAGATTTAAAACATATTCCTTATGAATATAAAAGACCTTCTGAAATGGAGTTATTCTGTCAAGCTTCTGAGTTTTATAAAATAGTAACTGCTAGAAGAACTATAAGATTTTTCAGTTCTGACCCTGTACCAAAAGAAGTCATATATGAGATAATAAAAGCTGCAGGTACAATATCATGTTATTACGTTCACAAAACTTTTTATACATCTGAGTCTGTTTTAGGCACTGCGCCTAGTGGTGCACATACAGAACCATGGACATTCGTAGCGGTGTCAAATCAGAAGATAAAAGAACAAATACGTTATATTGTTGAAAGCGAAGAAGAAATAAATTATAAAAAAAGAATGGGAGTAAAGTGGACAACTGATTTACTTCCATTAAGAACAAATTGGATTAAAGAATACCTGACTACCGCTCCTTATTTGTTGCTTGTATTTAAACAAATTTATGGAATTTTACCAAATGGAAAAAAGAAAATTCATTATTATAACGAAATAAGCACATGTATTGCTTGTGGTATTCTTATCACCGCTATACAAGTAATATTGTTATAATACTATGATTTCTTATAATGTATACCTATGAATAATATGGATGATAATATATGAATTTTAAAACTAGTATGCAGGTTTGGTAACTCTGACTTCTACTCCTTTAAATTGTGGACCTGCCATCCGCAACCTTCTTGGACGTCCTTCTAATGAAAAGCTTGTTGTACTACTGCCAGTTGGTTATCCAGCAAAGGATGCTACAGTGCCTGATCTTCAGCGAAAATCTCTATCTGATATTTTAGTAGAAATTGATTGACATATATTATAACAAATTATGGGAAGTACCTTTGTTTAATATTTTATCAGATACTTGCTTGTAGGACAATACAAAAATGAGTACACATAATTATAGATTTATATAAATCCTGTTTTTGTAAAAAAACTTATATTTGTTTTGAGTATTGTTTGTTACTTATGTATACCTTACATTACACTTTCGCAAATATATATATATGTATGTGTGTATATATATATATATTATTTATTATAATTATAGAATATAATTTTCCTTGGTCAAAGACATGACTTTCAATCTTATAAAGTTATCCTAAAATGTTCAAAAGGGAACTAATCCCTGAAATATAGCACCCAAAGAAGTTCTATCATAATATATTATATTCCTGCACTCAGAAAATATTCATGGCACACAATAAGACTGTCTAAAATTAGTGATTCAGTTGTATACTAATATTTATTTAAATTTGCATACAGTGTGTTAAAAATAAGCAATATAAAATGTAAATTCACCAGTAATTGGTTTAAACTCAAAAATCTTTATAGACTAATTTTCATGACATCTAATATACAATTCCATGTCGTTAAGCGACCTTAAAATTACTAAATAAAAAAAATTACATCAATGAGTACCAAATATCACCATGGTATCTTAAATTAAGTACATTCAATATATAAAATATAAAAATACTGAGCTAAAACAATAAAGGGCATATAGAATATAATTTTCTGCTGTACTGCAAGTTTGTATGTCATAATTATACTGCTACTAATGGCTGTGTCATTAAATGTAAAAGCTTTAGTATCATGATACATACAGATAAACAGATAGTCCTATTCATCACTATTTATGAAACAGATGTTATCATGTTTTTCCTAGAATATCAATTTTTTTCTTATTTTTGCATCTTTCATAAATCTTGGATTGGACCAAGTTTGATAGCAAGGAGTTAAAGAGATTATTAAAATTTGAGATCTCCAAAATCGTTTAAAGTATGTGTAAGCAGTTTTGAAATCCTAAAAGCAACCGAACTTCGAATGTCAATGGCTAAAAATAAATTGGCCCGGAGAACTAGGAGAGTATTTGTCGATGTTCACAATTCTCAAACTAATTTCTATAATATTAATCGTCTTCATAAATATATCTTTCTAAAATCAATCGAAAATATTCTTTTGTTTCAATTATAAAATATGACGATGTTCGACAATCTTATATTGGAGTCCTTGACCAAGATTATTCCACTAACTTTAATGACGAGTTTAAAGTGATTGTTAGTCTGTTTTCATAAAAACATTAAGCCAACCCTTATACTTTCGTACATCTATTGATAAACGCTAGCTCATTAAAATTATAAATACATAATTACCATACTTTTAATTTTCTGAGATCACCAGTGCCTGAGATAATCTAAGATAGCGTATATACCACGAATACTTCGTAATATTTTATCTTATTTAATAGAGCTTAAATCAAAAAAAAGAATATTAATGCTGCCAACATTATTAATAGATCTTTTTACAAAAATCAAAAAAAGTAAACAGAAGTCTTCAAATATTGAAAGTACATCTGCGTTTATCATAATACTATAAGAAGGGGAAGTGTACTTATGAATACTCTCCTAATTCGAAAACGGCCATTGCACCACAGCAAATAGATAAAATTCATCACTTATCTACGAGATAAAAGATTCTCAATCACGGCGATGAAACTCTGCTATGCACAGACGGCAAGACCAGGAGCCCTCGGGAGGAGATGCAAGAGGTGGAGACAGACAATACATGTGGTATCCACGATCACAGTCGTCACAGAACAGCAGCTGATCCTAGTTTGGTTCGCGAAATAATTAATTAAGATTGCAACGATACCTAACTGAGTGTAGTTATTCGCAATCGTTGCTTTAATTTACTATCTTTCCTTTACGATAACAATTATCCTATGATTTACTTCAAATCATCCATTGTTATTTTTTATAATCATAAATAATAAGATTTTTTTGTTTTCTTTTATAGAAAACATTAGCAATGCAATTGTAATAGATTGTAAAAATTTAAATAATTTAAAAAAAATATTAAATCGTTAACAACGTTTCTGTATCATCTTTCTCAAACTATTTTGATATATGATTAATTAATCAACAAAATTTTAAAATAATATGATATATAATATATAATATTGATATATAATATGAAAATATATATAATATATTGAAAATATTTCAATATATAATGGTAACAAAAACTTAATATAAAATTAATGAGGCAAGATGCAAGAAATATTAACATTAATTAACACAAAAATAAAAGATACTCGAATTATTTTCCACAGTCAAAGGGAAGAAATCAAAATAGTTGGAGTAAGTGAATTGTTTTTTGTTTCGTCACGTAAAGGGAAAAATGGTAATGAATACTCACATCGTTGTCAGAAGTGCCACAAATGGAACAGCATTTGCATTCGATACACTGCCACCTGTACTTGCGAACAGAAACGATCATGTTCGCTGTGAATTGCAAACAAGTCGGATGCCCTATAACAAGAACGTAGCTAGGTCATGGAAAACGCATATGGGACGGAATAGGATATTTTGGACGAGTAGAAAGGTGCTAGGACATTTATCTTGTGCCGAAGAACAGTGAACTCCAAGCTATCATTTCACTTCGAATATTTTTTTTCGTACCATTTTCAAATTCAAATAGAAGTATTTGTTAAAATTCCAAATCAAATTTAATATTTTCTTCTTCTTTTTTTCGATTGCTCAAGAAACGCGTGCAATTATATTTGATATGATTTATCATAAAGAATCATAACTTTCACCTTTCCTCAGCACTAAAAACGTCCGGAATAATGATACGTTCTGTTATATTTCCGCACAGAATATTTTATTTCATGATATCTGCGATTTTATTTTTTTTTTTTTGTATGTCGCCTCTTGAACATATTGTTATTTTATTTGGAATAGTAAGGTGGTAAGTAATAGCGGTGCGTACCTTGGAATAGTTCACGTTCTTTCTTGCGCAGCACAATATAAACGTCACGAACCAGCACACTCTCTTCTCTCATTAGTTTCTACACACTTTTTTCATATCATCACACTCTTTCATCCCTTTCATACTATTTTCTTTTTTTTTTTTCTTCATTTATGCTCTCTTTTCTTTCGCGCACGTGCACATGCGAGTGTATGCGTGTCTCTCTTCACATGTACACTCACACTCGCGCGCGCACAAAACATATATACTCATATAACATATCACATTTGATATATATAATATATATATAATATATATATTTATATATAACTAGCGTTACTTAAATACTAGATTTGTAAGCCTCATGGGTATTGCTTAATTAAAATTGCCTAATAACAAGTCTTCGATTCTTTTTTTTTTATTTATAACAAGGAGGAACTATTTCTGCATGCTTTCATACTCGTAATTATTTTTTTAATTCTTTCATCATTTTTCTTTTTTCTTTCTCTCTCTCTCTCTCTCCCTCTCTTATACCATGTGAATCTTTCTTAATACAATAAATAGAAGGGTTCATCAAGATACGATAGTGATTCATCTTCGGATTTATTTTTCTCGTCATATGATCGCTACTAATTGTAAATTATAAAGTTAACCTAAAAAAGACCTCTCGCCATTATAACATATCTTATCTTCCCTCTTAACTTTTTCTTTTTATATATTTTTCTTTCTTCTTTCTTTTTCCTATCTTTTTCCCGTTTTTTTTTCTAATTTTTTGGTAAAAATCGAGAAACTGCCATCAACAATGCAGCAGAATAGAAAAAACTGCGTATAACATTCACAGACGATAATCCTAGGGAATTTCTGTATGTATTTTTGCGCTGTGCATTTTCGGTTAATCAGACGCACTGTGAAATTAGCCATCTACCCGCTGCGCTTGTTTATATGTCAGATGTAAGGTAACAAGGGAAAGTATCGAGTACACGTGCATACGTTACAACTCGCTTGCATCGATTATCATAAATCTATGATAATATAATATAATTTTAGCGTTAGAAACCAGCTACTTATTATGAAAAATGAACACGCGGATTGCAGTACCATTCAGAAGTGGGAATTGAATTTGATGACTTAATACACGAATGACGACGACGACGACCTCCGCTACAACGAAAAATCGTGAAATATTATACAAGTAATAAAACGACGATTTTTTCTTATTTTTCCCTTTTTTTTCTTGTTAATTCTAGCATTCGAACAATATTTTCTTGTATGAATATCAAAGCTTGTACAAAACTAAGCTATTATCGAATCTCTAAGATTACGTGATATATCTTTATTCCTTTTTTTTTTTTTTATCGTTAAAACACGACATATGATCAAAATCCTGCCTAAAGACTGGAGAAACTCGTTTGGAAAAAAAGAAAGAATATTATAACTTTTACACTTTTCTTCTTTCTATACATATGTATTGTATATGTTGTCACTTGTTTTCTTCTCCCTCTATGTATGCAATAAATATGCTCGTCATTTGATAACGATTACAAATGGTAAAAAGGCGATTACTATATTACGTATTACATTTGCAATATGAGACGGAAACGATTAATGCCCAGAACGAAACGGAAGATTTTAAGAGCAGCAGATTTATATATGGAATGTCTACACGAAAAAAAAAAGAAAAAAATTTGAAAAAAAAAACTGATAAGTGAAAGAAAAACTTTTTTTTCAAATCAAAATTATGGTTTTTCTAATCATTAAAAAAAATACCTTATTTATATTATTACATTAAAAAGTAATGGATAACATTTAATTGAATTAATTGATGCAATTTTTAAAAAAATTGCTATATTTATATAAAAAATCAACTTTCTTTTTTACTTTTTAAGAAAAATAATATTAAAAAAATTACATAATAATCATGAATCATGATCACAATATTATAAAAATGAATATTTTTTTTCTTGCGATTTCTTTAATCGAATATTTTGAATAATAATAATTTTAGTTTACTAGCATTATATGTGCTGCGCTCTTATGTGTGGTATTCTATGATAATATATTCTATAAATAGAAACACTCGAAAAACGCAAAATAAAAAAGAATATTTACAGATTTGAAAAAGTGTAGAAGTATCGAAAAAATGTGGTCGATCCTCTTTTTTCGTTTTACTATATATAAATATTGTTGCTTTCGTTAAACGATT